TCTTGCTCACTTGCACATATCAACCACACCCTCTGGAAGTGGCCGATCAATTGACTAAAACCTGGGCACTAGCGTTGGACCAGTTGGACCACCGATCCCACAATTCCTACATTATTTCCTTAGTTCGTTGGCGAGATGGCGAGATGGTTGAAGTCATACTAGGCAATATATTTTTATGACTAGATATTTGGAGATACTTCGGTTCTTGACATCTTAGCAGTCTGTTGGAGTTATTTCAAGGCGACAGATTGAACTACGGTAAGTGTTTATTGTAATTGATCTTTAGGGTTTGTTATGTCATGCACAGTGATCAGCGAAGCAAATGTTTTTCTGCTTATGTTTCGTGGTAACTTTGTTATGTTCTACGACAGGTTCTCATGATCTCTTAGAAATTTAGGATCGATCGAAATTCGGTGGACTTCATGCAAAAACGCTCGAAATATTTCGTTTCGTTACCGATTTTCTACTTTTGATCGAGATTGTGCAAGCTGACATGTAGGCATAAAAAAAGGTCGTTTTTCACACGATTTAATATTCTTTGAATGTTAGAGTTTTTTTCCAGAATATCTTCTTCTATCGTAGGAACAGTCTGAATTTTTCTTGCGATATTTAACTTACTATTGTATCTGGGACACAACGAAGGTTCGTAAGGAAGTCAATTTTAATGTTCTATAAATATTGCGAAGCGGTGATCCCCCCAATGATACATTTCCGGTTTCACTTTCGACTCCTGCTTTGTCGTAGCTGTCAAAGTGGAGTTAAAACACGTTAATAAATAAATGTACAACTTTTGATCTTCTCCCTTCCCGTGAATGGTACATCTGTAAGAAATGATATCAAGGAGAATTAATGTTTTGTTAAAATTCCACCAGATAAAATTAACTGAACTGTCCTTTGCGAGATGAAATGTAGAACACAAGACATGAAAAAGTCCTTGACATAATTTTGCAAGTTAATATGTACAGAATTTTCAGGAAACTTTATATCAGAATGGTCTAATTCTTCATATCCTCACAATTCATTTAACAAGTAGAGAGGTTGGTAGTCTTAATTTAAGTGCCAGGGTATTTAGCTATCGACAAAATAATTGTGGACAATGATAAAGTATGGAAATTTTAAAAAAAATTTAGAGAAAGAGCGACTGATCATTGTGTACTAACAATAAATAAATGCTGTATAGTTGATTTAAGAACATATGTTGCAATTCTTAAAACTGTCTAGTCTTTCTTGTAAATACTTCATTTAAAACTGTTTAGGTAGGCACTAAGTACTTTTTCCTTTGAAGATCTCTTACATGAAGATGCTGAATTTTTACCATAAATTTGTTGCAGTGAGATTCAGAGAACTTATAAATAATTTCTGAGAAAGAATATGATTTTGTAGTCATGATGATTCAACAAAACTAGGGGGAAATTTAAAGTGGATGCTTCGACCAAGAGCTGTCGGTGACTCTTGATAGCTAAGAGGATTTGAAGTCAGTTTGGATTCTTTTCAATTGAAAATTTAGCTATGCTGCTCCCAAGTATGCTTGGCAAGGTCGTGAGAACTTTGGAATGAAAAATTGGTATCATCAATCCCCCAAAAAAGTGGTTAAACATGCCAGCTATCATTTGAGCTTGTTGATTTACATAATGTACTGTAGATATGATGTTACTTCATTCACTCATATCTACTGTTCCCTTTTACTTGTAGAGGTTTTTTTCCTCTTTTTTTTTATCTGAAATCAAATTATGTTGATTTCTATGTTAAATATTTGTAGAAAATATCTGAAAAGCTGAAATGCAAATCAGTTTACTTTGAGTTTTTGATGGTTTTGATTTTTTTTAAAGATGAGATTTGATTTTCTTTGCAGGTTTAAAAGTGATGTGAAGTAAAAAAGAATGGATTGGGAATCTTTGTTAAGTCAATACATAGAATATCACTCAAATAATGCCAATGAAACCAAGGAGGTGCTTGTGAGGAATTCTAAAGAATTCTTGAGCACTTCTAAACCTGGCTACAGATTTGAACTGGAAGTGGAATTTTATGATGATGTAGAGAGAATTGCTCAGAAATTTGATAGTGATGAAGACTTCTTTAAAATGATGAAGGCTGGAATGAACAGCCTTGAGAAATATGGAGTGAACTTGTGGAGGTTCCCCTGGCGTAAAGAGTACCACACTGTTAAGGTACCTTGTATGGATATAAATGATTTTCAATGAATTTTTTCCTCTTTGGCAGTGATGATGAGTGTTAACTTTTTTCTTTAAAAATAGCATATCACTTCTAGAGTTCAGTCTGTGATTGAATAGTCTCTCATGGTAGTAAATGGGTTAGAGACAACAGAAGATTTGTGAAAGTCTGTTTTGTTTCCCATTGATAAAGTAGCGTTTGAGCAACACGAGTTTGCCCTTTGAGATGTGTATTTCAGGCGGCTCTTAGAGGTTGTGGGAAATATTGGATCAAAAGGAAAATTAAAAAGTTCATTAGTGAATATCAAAGGTGAAAAGTCAGATTCAGAAATCATTACGTACAATTTTCATTACCTGACATCTCACTTTGCAGATTCACCCAGTAATTAAGTCAGTTGTGATTGGTCAATTTTGTTCAGTTGGTAATGAGTCAACGGGCTGTGTTATGTTTACTAGTTATGCTGATGTCCTGACTAACTTTTCACTTTGGAATTAACTTCCAATGGCCACTCTCGGCCTCTGCGTGTTGAGGTTTTCGGTGAGCTTTACAAATTTTTCATTTCTTCTCCAACAGCTTTACACTGCATTTTTTAAGAATATTGAAAAACAACTGAAAGACAAGGAATTCATTTTTTCTGTGTTGAAGTTTCTCGGCTACTCAGAAAGAGATGAACACAAAGTGTATATAAAAGATTCTGGGAGAAGAAATCCCATATGGGCATCCTTCAACCTCTTTTTACTTCAGGTGGAGTTGCAAATAATGGAGGAAATTCAAAGTCAAAACTCAAGCAGAAATATTCCATTGAAGGAAATTGTTAGAGCAAGATCAAAAAGGCGTACCATGGAAGACGCTATTCGTTATCTAGGCCTAAAATCTTCTAGTAAACAGCCAGAACTTGACGAACGACAGGGAGATGATGCATCATCTTACAAATTCACCATGGGGACGTCCAGTGATAACATCAAAGCCAGAGCCAGGCTTCCAGGTGAATTAGTGTCAGGGGACCAAATCACCACTAGCAGCTCTAGCGGATCTTCAGCCAACCTCTCTGTTCTGTCAAAAGCAACCTACAGTGGTGCTGCGAATGCTAGTAATCGTTCAAATGAGCCTACATTCCGCAACGGATACGTTCGTACTGCTCAACTACCACATCACAAATTATCACTAGGCGGTGTTGACTCGGTACGGATTACAGACAACGCTTTGTACGGTGTAAATCCTGAAGAAAGCCTACCTGAGCACGCAAGTGCATACAACAGGGAGGTGCGCGACCAGAATAGTTCTCGATATGATGATGCCAGCAGGAGTGCCACGTTCAGAGAAAAGACTGGTAATAGCCAACATGTTACAACGCCTTCAACAGGTCGCCCACAGTACCCTGCTAACACAAAAGGAGGCCAGCAGCATGGCGCTCATTCAAGTCACTACACTTTCAATCAGCTTGGTTCATCACACTCTCCTCGTCTCACTAACGGCCATAATAATGGCCATTCGTTCAATAGTTCAGCCGAAGCTGGCGCAAGTGTTCATGACATAAACACCAGCAGGTATGTGAACCTCAGATATAACGCTGGTTCTGACTGTCAAAGCATTGGATGCAGTGGATCAGATAAATCTTTGCCCGCGAAAGAGGGTGAGAGACGCTTTGAAGACAGGTTACCGATAATTCAGCAAACTCACATCTCTCGCTCCGCACAGGGTTTGGTTGGGATGGAGGGTGACACGCATGTGAGATCTTCAAATCATCTGTCAAGTAGCGACGAGCCATCTAACGTTGGTAAAGCTGCAAAAGCTCCTCAGCAGCAGAAAAACATGTCCACTGGACACAGGAGGCAGGAGCATATTCCTAGTGCGGAGGAAGCCGCTAAATCACGACAAGCACACAGATCGCAAGTTAATATTGAAAGTCCTGTTGCACCTACAGGTGTCTACAATTTCAGCTCTGGTGCAACTGAGGGGAAGAATCATTCACTAGAGAAACTCCCGTCATCTGTACAGAGAAGAACAAGCATGGATTCGACTCGAAAAGAGGATGGTTCAGCTTGTCATTCCCCTCCTTTCCAGGTTCAAAATCTTACTCAAGGTTCAGTGAAAGGTTCTCAAACTGGAGCTGTATCAGTTGCTCAAACAACATCGTCTCATGAGGCTCGTGCAGTTAAGCAAGCCAAACACGTTGGAAACAGTATATGTGAGCATTGCTCGGTACCCGCGTCATGCATTTGCCGTCGTTGTTATCAATTAGTCTGTGGAAAGTGTACGACAGTCTTTGCTACGGATCTTTGCACGGTTACTAAAGGAGAGCATCAATTTGCGAACCTCACGGCCTCTGAACGAAAGGGTGAACAAGGCATTGGAATTAGTGGAGAAGAATGGTCCTGTCTTCGTTGCACGTATGTAAATCCTGCTGAGAACAAAATCTGTGCCATGTGTTCCACGACGCGTGGACTTAGTGCTGTGGAGCTGTCAAAGCCGGGCAGCAGAGTTTGTAGGTCGTGTACATACCACAACAAAGAGAACGCTAAGAATTGTGGCGCTTGTTTACGTTCTCTAGACTTGCATTGTCGCGAGACGATGTGTTAAAACAATGTGAGGCTCCTCTTTGATTAGTTTTCCTAAGTTACTACATTGTTAGTAAGAAAAGGAACGGTTCTTGTGCTCTTCACAACTTTTGAGTAGGAGGGCTAAGAAACTGAAAACGGCTTGAACCCTTTACATCCTAACTTCAGTATGCACATTCTTCATACTGTTTTCTATACATTTCCTGAGGTGCTAACAAGGAGAATTTGTCTAACAATTAAGAGCTTCTTTAGTTTAGTTGTTTCCCTTATTCTCATGACCTGAATTTATTCAGGGCTGATGTTGTAAGGAGAAATAAGATGTTAGTCACTCTAAGGGGTTAAAGGGGTAAATGAGTGAAAAACTCTAATGCTTTCTATTGAGCGAAGGATGACAGCGATTACAGTATATAGTCAACTTCCGCAACTGAGTCGTTCGACACCAAAAGTACTTTAAGTACTGGATATTTTAGTTACTTTGCTAGAGGGTTTGAACTAGTTTCATACTATGAAGGAGTGCGAAGAAGAATGTGCAGACTGTATTCAGGCGA